AAGGAAACATTACCCTATGCGGATCCAACGAAATGAGTAAACGAACGCTGGGCATAAAGTAGAATGCCCGGGCGGAAGAATCGTTTTTCAAAGTTCATGAGTTTCCTGAAAACCTAACCAGAAGAAATATATTGTCGTATGTAGCAATAATCTTTGATCCTGGAGGTGGTATTAGGAAACACAACATAAAGTCAGTGAGAAGGAATCCACAACAGGAAGACTCGGTGTTAGTAAACAATACTGGCTTGCTGAGAAATCTGTGGGCGAAAACTATAGTTAGACAGGTCAATTGTGGTACAGATGGCCGAGTGAGAACGATTCGAATGAAGACAGACACCGAAGAGATCAACCGAGATATACGCAACCTATGCCTACTGGAAGAGGTCGATTATTCGAGCGCGACGGCAACGGTGTCTAGACGTGGTGACCGCTTTGGGGGGAATTTTAGTTATTTCCATAACTAATTGTAGTTAGGTCATGACTGACCAATCAAATTGTGGTTTAAGCGCCCACCACGTGATCTGATCTGGCGTGTCTGTAAACTTTCTTTGTTGTAAATGACCTACTAATTGAAGGACATTATTATCTTCTTATATTTATGTGACTCATTATTTTATTCATTTCCATAAGACACGCTATATTGGTCTGTGTGTTTGATCGTTTCACTTGGTAACTGTAATTTACTTATTTCACATACTAATCCAATTGTTTTTATGTTTAGGAACAGGTAAAGTTTAAATCGAAATTGGTCTTGTTCTGACTATAGCTTTTCCATAGACTCTGTGCTCGCCAATATTGCGTTTCCAATTCTAGAATTACATCTGTAGGACAAATTAAATCCTACAACTAGCGTTCGAAAATATTACACAAGAAGTATAATTCAGTGAAATTAATTAAGAAAGAGGAGATGAGGAATTCAGAAAATTAGAATTTGAAACAGCACAAAGAGTTGATGCACCTGCGGCATTGCAAACGATTTTGAGCCATGTCATTCAAGGTCTAACCATTGGTGACTTTCGTCTCGCGAACCCCAACCACGTAGCCTACATCTACCGACATGACTCAGTCTACTTGTCGGCGACTTCATGGATTTCTGCCATGTTTTCATCTGGCCGGCCCTAGATTTCTTCCAACCTAATCCTGCACCACAAAACATAGCTCGTCGAGGCAGTCGGTGGTTAGGCATTCGTAATACATGTCATAACCACTTCAACAGATGAAGTTTCTCTAATTCGTCAATTGATCTACCATACCTACCTAGTCCTCGTCCCTAATAGCCCACGTATATCCTCAACTCTTACCGACTGTGTTTCTCATCCACATAATAGAACGGAGTGAACTACTGTGCAGTAGACCCGTCCTTTGGTTAGCAAACGGATATCTTGCCTACGCCATAATTGACGCAAACTGACAGAAGCCAATCGAGCCTTCTGTATCCGTGCCAAGAATTCATCAGACACCAGGTCATCAGCGCTGATGATACTCCCAAGATAAGTGAACCGGTCAACACGGCAAACTGCTTCACTCCCTATCACTAGTTCGGGTGCCGAGGGAAGTCAATCATGAAGCAACCATTTAAATTTCGAGGATAAAACTCACACCATTGACAGATGACTCTGCATTTTCTTAGCGTCCTCACCTTACAGAACAATGTCGTCGGTATATTCTAAGTGAACAACTGAATCTCTTTACAAACGTTCAAATCCTCAAAACTCAGACGAAGATTGTGTTGTTGCTAAAAGCATGGCTGATAGTAATGTGATCTAGTTTGATCCAGCGTTGGGACGACTTTGTGGGTCACCATGTCAAAAGATGTTTTTCCTTGTATTCAGAGTTACTATTTGCTAGAAATAGGCGGTCATTTGAGCATAGCCGCAGCAGACGATCGCCATTATCTGTCCGATCAGTTGCGACACCAAAAGATTCACTCAGGTAGGTGTCTTTCCTCTCAACGTAGTTTGCCTATTTGAGCGTTAAAGTCACCATCCACTGTTACTGTATCAGTGCCTAACTGGTTTAAGAAGGTTCGATAGCTTTCTGTAAAACTCATCTCTTACTTCATATGAACTGCCTTCATTAGGGGCGTAGGCAGAAGCAAGGGCGTGTCCCGTTTAGTTAGACAGCGCATAAGTGACTGTCCTTGTGTGATCCAATCTAAAAGAGCTGGTTCAGCCCTAAGATTTGACGCTAAACCTACACCACTGAGGCCACGGGAAGCGGCAGCATGGCTTCCAGATATAGGAAGCGTAAACCAAGTTAATTATCTATTGGGACAAGGCAAAATCAGGTTATTGATGTTGCTCAGATCCTGTATGCGTGTTGCGGAGTCGCAGCATCGAGGTAATACGATTATTGAAGGGTGTCAGAAGGATTTGATTGTCTGCTGTTAAAGTTATCTGGATGGATGTCAATCCCTCATTGTCCACAGGGTTGAAAGGTGTTTCTTGACGCTTCTGAAAAAGAAGTTGGATTATTATTGGTCTTAACGACCTAGTTACAACTACTTGAGGCCGGTCACTCACGGTGTTAGATCCGTACTTCAAGTCGTCTTACTGTCGGTGGCGGGAATCCCTCAGGTAAAGCGAGGTGTGACATTTTTAAGGTCGACCTTTTCTAACCCTTCCTTCCTTGTGAGAAGGCAGCGACGCTGAAGATGCTGACTGGCCGAGGAAAACACCTTACTGCTGTCACACCCTTCTAAAGTCAGCGTTACAACTTCGCTCTGCTTTTTGTCTTACCTTTCTCTGGTGAACCTTCCCGGCATCGTGAGACCTAAAGGAACATATATTCCAGGTAATATAGCTCGGTTGGGTCATTACGATAAGCCAGCCCGACCACCATGTCTAGGTAGCAGCTACGGTCGAATACATAAAAGTAATTTGAATAACGCTTAAGCATCGCCGGATTAAACCATTTTACTATGAGTCGTTTGCTTGTAAAATATGATGACGCTCAAGCTTCTCAATTGATTTCCTTAATACATTCATAATCAGCCTTCATAGACCCTCTTATATTTCAATGATAGCTACAAGGATAATAATCGTCTAACATTTCTCGACTCTTTATCCTGATCAACCAACTTGATATTTATTTCTTACTGTAGACGATTGTTTGTCGAGTTTTTTCGTCCAAAATTTTAGGTATTATCAATCATGGTTGTTTCTAGTTACCTAAAAAATGAAAATTTGTACGCCATATGTGATTGTGAAATAACATTCGATTGTTGCGTTTTTGTAAGCAATATTTTGCCTATGTTTCAATGTAAGAAATACAACAATTAGAAGGACACTTTCAAACAATTTCGCGTATTTTTGACTGTAAAAGGGACGCTAGTTTAGTGGGTAGGTTGTCCTGCTTCCAACTCCAAGGTTGTAAGTTCGAGTCTCGCTCCACTTTTCTGTGCAGCTCAGTAGTACTAGTGTGGTGCGAGCTACTTATAAGTAGTATATGACGTGAGCGTCAACCTAATGTCTGGCAGCCGAAGATGGGGCGAAGATCAAGAAAGGAAGAGTTAGAAAACAATTGACTTTGTATGAAACGCATGAATAGTGACAATGGATTGATGTTTTGCAACAGGAACAGTCCAGTTCGATATGATGAACTGTTATTTTGCAAATGGACGATTTACGATATGGTTTTCAAATTTTATTTAGTAGCTCTGTAATTTTCGTTAAATGCAATTCGGTTGCCCCACCTGTGTTCTCTTTCACTACACTAGTACTCTAACACAAACTGTGCCTCTGAGCTAAGCACATACGTGTGTACTTAGTGAGCTCTATCTAATAGGATCTCTGCGCAACACTCCAAATATTACGAGATAGTAGTTCGTTATCCCAAATTTTCTACAGTTATTTTTGCTACACGACTGATTATTTTGTTATAACCAACCTTATGTACAGAATCGTTCAGTGAAATTACATGGATAGGTGTAAAGTTCGGTTCCTATTATTGCTAATGAAATTCACATAGGCTGTATTTGAGAATTTTAAAGAAATTAGATAAAATATTTCAGAACGGTTAGTGAATAACTGTGTTATGAATGCGAATGCTACGTCCACCTATAGATGTCCAAACTGGTACCTATGCACATCGGTCAATGTAAGTATAGCTCACATCGACATGGGTATCGTGGGTCAACCAATAAAAACCATAAATCGACAAAACAGTGTCGATGGCGGTACAAACTAAAATGGAATTTTAGCCCGAAATTTATTAATTAAATCCAGGGATAAATATGAATAAATACGTTTGGTTTCTAACCATCATTTGTGGTAATCACGTGGGTATCAGTCACAATCAAATTTTTTGGAATGCTTAGTGTAACATTTTTAGATTTAACTTCCCTGAGCTGTTATTGTCCAAAGACCATGTCTGACCGATAAACCAGCAAAGAAAAGCTGCTTTTTATCGATTGTAAAATGGATTTAATTGATGATAGAAAATAGTATAATCTAAATGAAGCAAATAAGGAAATTAAGCAGAGACATAAGTCCCATAGTATACCTAGAATAATAAGTTCTTAACTAAATGTGTAAAAGTAACAGATGAATTTAACCAATAATGTACATAACTAGTATCTGAGCAGGTCTAATCTTTAAGTTATCCAGTTTATGAACATGTGTAGTATTTCGTGATGTAAAATATATGAAGATTCTTTTACCGTCGAATGTAATTTTTGGAACTTCATTTATTTAGACTAGCGATCACCCACCTAGCAACCCGTTAAAAATGTTCAGATTAGCCAGACCATCTGAGTGGAGAGAATTTCGAAACTGGCAATTCTATTTAGCTGTTCAGTAAATCAAATACTCAACTAAATAGTAATTTTTATGAACAAATGTTACTGTTCTAAGTGCCTTTTACAAAATGCGTCTTCATGTGTTTACTACCATTTAGCTCTCACCAGTTTCCTTATCTACAGTAGACACTGACCACATCTGCTTGTAAAACCGGGACCTCGGTTTTCAAGTGGAATTAATTTAAGAGAAAATCAAACATACCAAGATAATGCATGCGGTCAGTGCCAAGGCACCGATAGCCTGGGCATAATTATTGATATAACTCCTCAAACTCTCGAAACACCCCTGGAGTAAGTTAATGAATTAGTACTTCAAAAAAATTACTGCGTAATATACAGCGTCATTGTGAGGTCCACTGCTTCTATTTGGTGGTCCATACTGCCACGTCTGACAGCGTCTTTTATCACGGTATATTTCTGTTGGCCAACCAGTCAATCCATCAAGTTTCTTGACACAGCAAGATGCCGGAACAAACAGGTAAAACAAACTTGACTCTGTGTAATACGTCACCTACCAATTATTCTTTATATACCTGATAATTTAGTATTTGTTTCGTATAAATCCGAGTTTACAATCATATCCCACCATGATCCGTTATACGCACCCCACCCACTGTTATCAACTCCACAGCAACGTAGACTCTTTTGAACTAGGTCCCACGCATCAGTTATTATCCCATGTCTTCCATAGTGATTCCTTAACGATGCCAACATTACACTCCTAGCTGAGTCACCAAGCTAAATTAAAAGACACGTTAACGAAATGTTATAAAATAAACTCACTGAACTTTTAAACGATAAAACTATTATTCCTGATATCAACAAGAGTAATACGAGCAGACATAGAATAAATATATACTGCAAATATCCGAAAATTAATTGTATGCATATCCTACAGACACAATCAAGCAGATATTTTCTCTGTCAGCAGCAATGTAACCACACAAGGCTACAATTGTGATAACAAGTCCTAAGAGGATAATAATGTACACCCCTGTTGTATAGAGTGAAGTTCCAACAATTTCAGACATATTTCCATGATCAATAACACACACCACCCCGAAGGATATCAAAGCAACTCCAAACAACTAAAAGTCGGCTAAGATTTATAAAGAAACCATTACGATGGAAAGTCCGTTTAGGACAAACAGAATAAGAGACAATGTTCTACCGGAAATGAGCTGATACATCGTAACTTCGGTTCAAAACTTGCATTATTTACAGTATCGCAACCTTGAAAGATCTGTATCCAATATCTTTTTCACGAGTTTGTCTAAGCCAATCACTTTTTTGTGCTCAAATCATGTACTTTCGGTATGCTCCCAGGTATTCGTTAATTTCCAATGGATTGTAGTCTAGCTACTTGACATCACCAGTTCTAATCTTTTACCAGTTGTTTGTGAATTTTTATGTTACGTGATTTGAATTAGCTCGTTTGTTTCAGGGTACTACGGTTTCTTGATACCGGCAGCTACCACGTTACCAGCCAGAGATCATTTAGTTGCATTGTGGATAACTATAAGAAGAAAAGTCTAATGCTAATAAGACTTAATAACTAGATGAATAAATGGATAATTTATTTTTATAATCAGCAGTGGACACTGCTAAACGACTGAAGTGTAAGCTGGGGAATGTAAACAGAGATAATAAGTGAGATAGATTAATTTAGTGATCTCAGGAAATGGCAATAAAAACAAATAACGAGACTTAAGACGTCCATTAGGCACAGCTGGACCAATTAGGTCTTAGCCCGTTCTTCACTGCCCAATCCAAATTTAATGCAAGTCACTTATGAAGCTCAGCTGAATCCTCTTCGCTTCTTTCGAATCTCCAGATCTTCGCGTCGTCTGTCAAGATCTATACCGCTGAGCTGATTGCGTCTGGCAAATCGATAATGAATATCAGGAAGGGGAATGGACATAAGATGTTCGTTTTTGAAACTCGTGATGCTGAGACTACTCTGCTCGTGTGTACTCTATTTACCTCAGTTCAGTCAGATGCAACTTAGAACTTCGTACGTAAGTACATCAGTTCACGTTGCCATACCACATTAGCACAGAGATGTAATTTTTAATTCAAATCCAATGGTAGTAGAGGTAGTAAAGTTATTAGAAGTAATCGGAGAGGGTAGGATTAGAAGATATTATTCAAGAAGTATGATTCAGTGAGAAAAGTTTAGAAAGTCAAAACTAGAGGTGTTGAAGAATCCAGAAGATTAGGATTGGAAAGAATACAAAGAATAAATGTACCGGCGCCATTGAAAACGGTTTTGAGCCATAACATTCAGGGTATCTAACCATCGATTATTAACATCTCGCGGACCCCAAACAGGTAGCCAACATGACTCAGTCCACTTGTCAGTGACTTCATGGATTTCTGCCATGTTTTGGTCTGGCCGCCCCTGGCTTTCTTCCACCCTATTCCTACACTACAAAACAAAGCCCTTCGAGGCAGTCGGTGGTTGGGCATACGCAACACATGTCCCAACCACTTCAACTGATGAAGTGTAACTACTGCGTCTATTGATCTGCCATTCTCACCTAGCACCCGTTTCCTAATAACAGCGTTGCTCACTGGGGGTGTCCCAGGATATACGAGCAATGCTTCGGATACACCTATGACCGAAAACCAGTAACCTACAAATATCTTCTGCTCTCACTGGCCATGTTTCACAGCCGTAAAGTAGGACGGAGCGAACTGCAGCACAGTACACTCGTCCTTTAGTCAGCAAACCTGCGCCATAAGTGACGCAGGTTGGCAAAAGCCAGTCGAGCTTTCTTTATCTATATTGAGGTTTCGTCCGTTACCGGGCCATCAGCACTAATGAGACTCCCCAGATAAGTGAAGCGGTCTACACGTTCGACTACTTCACTCCCTATCACTAGTTCAGGTGCCAATGCAACCCAATCTTAAAGCAACATTTCGCATTTCGATGGGAAAAACCGCATCCCGAACATGTTTGCATTGTTGCTAAAGGTAGTCAGAAGACTCTGCATTTTGTCAGCGTCTTCACCCAATAGAACTATGTCTTCGGCATATTCTAAGTCAATAAGTGAGCCTCCTAGTAGAAGGTCTACTGAAAATTCAGACGACGATAAGGTTATTTCTAAGAGCATGTCTATGATAAAATTAAACAAGAATGGAGAGAGTGGACATCGCTGACGGACATTACTTGAAGTGAGGAATTCCGTTGACAGTTCGCCATAAGCTCTCACTCGACCAGTGTTGTTCGAGTAGAGAGCTTGTATAAGGTTAATGTACTTCTTTGGAACACCTTTCAACGACAGACACTGCCACAGAACCTCACGATCCACAGAGTCAAGGTCCAGGAAGACAAATATTGTAGGACACCTAAATGTGTGTCTGTGTTCCAGGACCTTCTTATTGTGAAGATGTGGTCTATACACCCGCGTCCATATCGGAAACTAGTCTGGTTTTCTCTAGTTTGCGCTTCACGAGGCTAATAATTTAGAAACTATATTACCACGTGTGAAACTACATATTCCCAAGGTAGTTTCTGAGACAAGATAGGAGAAGGTCTGTGAAGCCGATTTTCACATCCTTCGCAGTTCGTGGTAAGTGAGCTAATGCATTGAAGGCTTTTGCGATGTCCAGAACCGGTAACTGTCGTTAAGTTAAGGGAACATAGGGCGCATACGCCCTGCCCTTCCAAAAACCATGTTGAGCTTCATGGAGGATTTTCTTCTTATCCATGTACTGCATCATTCGCTTAACTACAATTCCTCCCATTACCTTCAATATTATTAGTAATATTGCGACTGTTCTATGGCAGGCTGGATATTTCCCATCTCCTCCTTTGAAGATTGGAGAGATGTCTTGTTTTCATGCAGCCGGGATTCCGTGTGACTTCAGTGAATATCTAAACAGGTCATATACTGGTTAACTGAGGGCTTCAGCAAACTATTTTAAGACTATGGTTAGCATACTGTCGCATTCTAGTTACTTTTCTCGAAGCAGGGCTTTAGTTTCCTTAGTACTAAGTCAGTAATAAGTCGAATATTCCCTAGGCCATCAGCTGGTACTAGGATTGAACAATACTCTGAAAGTGTTTTTACTAAATCTAACTGATCGGTGAAGTTCGTATGTAAGACCTCAACCATCTCTTGGTTGGTAAGATCTTTGCTATTTGGATCTATAACGGAGCAAACATCCAAGTTTCTAGGTTTTATTTTAGTCATGAACCTCAACACGTACTAACGGTTTGCCTTTATTTTGGAGGCTAACTCCATTTGAAAGTGTCTCCTATCACTTCCAAATTTTGCATTGCATCTGTTCCTTAAATCCAAGTAAGAAATATAATCAGAATATTTTCGAAAGAATCTCAACTAGTGCCAGGGTTCTCATTTCGGTTACAGCGAGAGTTCATTGCCTCGCTCAACCCACGTTCTTCTATATTCCGGTTTGTGCTGCACCTGAGGTACATTGTGTGGGACAACATTCAGCAAATCACCAGATTCCATAACTTTAATGACATCTTCCTGACTACGGTACCATACACGTACCATAAAGACAGTTGCTCCGAAAAGAATGTGATGCCGAGCACAATTGTGACGAATGTAACCACATTTTGGTCTTAGGTCTCCCATCAGAATAATGAGATCTTTCGATAAGTACATAATAAAACAAGTCAAGACTGACTGTGAACACAGTTACAGAACAATCACGTTTCTGTCACTGCGTGTAGTATCTCCATGGATCAATGACAGCAAATAAAAGTTAATTTATACAAGGGAATATATTTGCTAGCGATTTCGTGGTACAGGAGGAATACAGAAATCGTGCAAGAAAAAATGGGAGAAGGTACAGTGAGCAGTATACCAAGCACTGGCGGCAACACCAAAGGAAAGTTTGCGCACAAAAAGTACAAATAGACAGAAGGTTCAGACAAACAATTACTGGCTCAATCGTTTATAATGATGAATGTTTCTATGACATCAAACGCCTTCTCTTCATAAATGTGGAGTCACTACAAGCGTCTCTGGAAGATTGATTGCAGCCTTCCATTTAATTGTTCTTCCACTTCTTCATTGTAGGCTCATAGCACTGGATGACGTTCTTTGTAATTCCTTCTATCTTTGTTTTGAATGACGCTTTGATGATCCTGAGTTCATGAGATTCCTATCCAATAAGTGCCTACTGCGCTTCTTTGGTCAGAATCAGTGCAAATCTCTGTGTTTAGAGGCCGGAGTATTACAGCATTTATCCTGAAGACAATCTTTGCTGACAGACCTGTGTCAACAAGTTTCGCTGATTCCAAATACCAATAGGTTGTATCTTTTCATTTCTGCAACAACTTCGATTACTCTTCCGGTCTTCTATAATGTACGAACACTTCATGAACCTCAATTAATGGTTGCTCTGGTTGATAGAATGGGCATCATCCTCGTGACTTGCGAAGAAGATCGATTTCCAACATGAGCCGTCATAGATCTTCCAAACGAATAGTGCACCCAAAAATTAAAACAAGTAGTATTATGATTCCCTTACTGTGAAGATATACAGCGAATGTATTATAGATGTCACAGATACTCAGGGTTTGGCAACGCTTTTGTCCGTTTCTGATCGAGGATACTAACGCCTAATCAAACCAGAAATCAGGACTGAATATAAGTGAGTGATCTTAGCTGGGTAGGTAAAGTGGAGATCAGGGTACCCAAGGGTGATGTGGTGCTAATGCTTGAACAGACGCCTTCATTCAGGGTGTTTACTCAAAAACTAAAGAGACCAGTATCATTGCAGGACTATATATTTCAGATTTCCTTGCCGCTTGAGACAACGGTCACACTGATGGAGCAGTGATGGCTCTGTCATGTGACTTACGGGAAGTTTAGACCAGATGTGAGTGACATTGGTACACCCTAGATAACCTGCTTTGTTTAAAAGTGTTTGGTTGTCTGCTTTTAACCTAAGGAGCCATAAAGTACATAATGATAATTTGGAAGAGTGAACAGTTTGATTTTTCGAATTCGTCTTTTCCACTTATCCTATCTTCATTACGCCACCGGAAAAAAAGGTAAAGAAGCCAGGCATACATGTGCATACATACCATGTGACAGCGAACATTATAATACTCGACATGTTATTTTCTGGTAAAGAAAGAAAAACTGTCTGTACCATATGCAGCTGATCGGTTAAGGGTCCCATGAATGGCACGTATGTTTATACTAACTATCAGGATAAACTTATGAGTGCATTTACCATGCGAGAT